GACGAGTGTTAACTATTTTTGCTAATATTTTAGAGAAACAGCTAAATATACTGATCAGTCGAAAAATTGTTTTTGTCGTGAGTTGGACCGTTTGTGTGAATAGGTATTACCCTTGCAATTTTAAAACAATCAGGGAGGTCCCTGAAGCAATGGATAAATTAAAAAGGTAGGACAGTATGGCGCTAATGGAATGAATTAAGCTTTTCAAGATTCTATTAGAAATTCTATGATGGTCAAGACTGGGTGAGTTATTGAAAGAATTTATTATATCAGTTTTTTTTTAAATTTGTTTCTCGGAGAAACATTGAGGAATAATTTGATTTGTTAAGACATTTTTAAAGCCATTACCTATCTTTAATTGATTGTTAAACAAGTCGACAAAGTAGTTATTAAAAATATTAGCTATCTCTTCTTGATTTTACGATTATTTTCAACAAGTAGGTAATATTTTTTTTCTTTTTATTATTATTTAAAAGTTTAAAAATTAATGTCAATTTTTCTTTGGAGTTTGATTTATTATTAGACATTATGGTAGTAATTTTGTTTTGTTGATTTGATTGCATTTTTTAATGTGTTTTTAGCAGAAGAATACATGGCTTGTTATGATCCGACGGATTCGATTTATATTTTTTAAATTTTGCTTTTTTTATGAACAATATTTTTTGTATATTTTGTGATTCATGGAAATTCTTTTATGAAATTTTTTTGTTTCATAAGAGCAGCAAATGATGAAAATTTTTTGAAACAAAAACATAAATTTATTGAATGCATTATTGCAATCATTTTCTTTCAGTATTTCTGACCAGTCGGCTGAGAGGAGCTCTTTTTCAAGCTTTTTGAAGTTTTTTAAAGATGTGTTTTGGTACAGAATGATATCTCAAAATTGCTTTTCTAAACGAAAGGGAAATGAAGCAAATATGGGATAGTGGTCAGACATGTCTTATGAAATGGTACCACTATAAAAAGTACTTTTACTATTTGTGAAAATCAGATCTATCAAGGTGTTGGACGATAATGTGGATCTCGTTATAACATTGATTATTGGATAGATGGCAAACATTGATAACATTGAAATCAAATTTAAAAATCGTAGACCGGTTATGGAGTATGCAGACACATCGATGCTAAAGTCGCCAATTAAAAAAAGTTTGTGTTCACTTGCAACACAATTTAGCATTATTTCCAACTGATCAATAAATACAACTAAGTCGAACAAGGGTGGTCTGAAAGCATTCGTAACAATTATATTTTTTCCATTCACAGTATTAATGATCTCAATAGTAATTGATTCATAAATTATGTCATTTTTAAAGGAATATACTTAATTGTGTCTCTAACAAAAAACGCCGTGCCACTTCCAATACCATTTACTCATTGTTGACAAATTTTTATCCATTAAGAGAAGTTATTGAATCATTTCCAAAATTAAGCCATGTTTCGCACAAACATAAAATATCAAATAGAATCTCAATATCCCGTAGCAACAATTTTAAGTCATCCATCTTATGTATAAGACTACTACAATTTAGACCAAATGAATTGAAATGTGAATTGATAGAAGGTGATAAAAATTTCATCAACTTGGGGTCGAAATGCTGGCAACGATAGAAAGACGCCTTAAATTCACTAAAAATATCGTAACAGTCATCAAACATGTTGAACATATACTCGTTAATAAATAAGTTATTTAATTGTCATTTTTGCTAAATTATATCCGACGCATCAACCTTGATATCTGCTATTATAGTTATATTATCTGGTTGAGTTTCAGCTTCGTGATCCGAAAAAATTTTATTTTCCCTTTGGATTACGGAAGAAAAAAAAGTTAGTGAACGCTGGCCACCTTCAGCTTTGGTTACATGATCACCACTACTTTTACTGATAAACTCACTATTAACGATCCAGTTTCTGACTATCATCCCTTCAGGCAGAGTATGAGTTTTTTTATAACTTTATCATAGCCAGATCTAAGGACAGTGAGTTTATATGACTTTGAGAAAGGATTTGAAATTAATCTATTTGTAATTCGAAAAATGCTCACCACTTTTATGTTTTTTTTCTAGATATTTAGCGATTTGTTGCTCATCGCTTTTAATATTAATACGCCCAAGGTATATCATGGACTTAAAAATTGGCTTCGAAGTTGCTTTAATTTCGCAGCTTTCTTTTCTTTGATTAAGGTTTTTACATCTTTTTTCAGGGCTTGTGAATAGGAAAATTTTTGTGATACGATTTGTGAAAATTTTAATATATGTATAATTGTATATATTTAAAAAAAAATGACAACGACATAATTCTATACTACAGAAATCATATGTCAACGGCACATAAAATAGATGAAGTCGTTCTCAAACAAATCATTAAAAAAATGTTACACCAATCAATGATACTAAAAATATAAAACTCAGAATATACTACAACAATTGTAAGACATCACAATTGGTCTTAAAGAACAATGCACTCCTAAAGGCGATTCTACTTTGAAGAGTAATCATGTAATATATGAATTTAAATGCCCTTTTGAAGACTGTGCGCGTCAACAACATTCGTATATTGGTGATACGATCATTTCACTATCAAAACGTCTCACAATGCATTCACAAAGAGGAGCCATCAAATCTCACTTTCAATCAACACATGAAACTCCAATAAACCGCCAAATTCTTGACAACAACACAAAAATAATTTATCAAAACTCCAACACAATACATATAAAAATTGCAGAAGTTGTCCTAATAGATATCAACAAACCCAAAATAAACATCCAACAAATAATGATAACATCACTACCAACTCGACGCCTGATTACTAACTTCAATAACAACGAAGAACATAGAAATGACAACAACAAGGATGAAGAATACGACACCAACTATTAACTTTACCAACGAACTTTGTTAAAAAACTTTTTTCTGTTTAATGAACTTTGTTCTGTTTAAAGAAACTATATAAACCGATCTGCACTGAAGATGATTTATGAAATGATATGCATGATAAATTTTGATAAAAACAGTTTCATTAAATTTTCATGAGGAACTTGGATAATTCTTTTTCCAATAAATTGAACGATTTCAAGAAAATTCTAATAAAGAAAATTTAAAAAACAAACTTTAAATTGATTAATGCCAACAATTAGGAAGAATTCATACAATACTGTATAAAATATGGTCTCATTACAACACACACATATATATATATTGGATTAAGACTGTCAAAAAAACTTTGGTCGCAGATACTCATAGAACAAAGACATCCGATAATAAATTTTCAACAGCGGGCAATTGGAATTCTTCCCACCAATAAATTTAGAAATAGAGGAATCATCGATAATGAAAACACGTAAAATTGTTATATTTATCGATAATGAAAACACATTAAAATGTTATATTTATCGATAGGGAAAACACGTAAAAGTGTTATATTTTACGACGATGAAGATTGTAAAACTAAATATTTACTTTAAACAAAAACAAGAACACAGTATAAAAATATTTGAGCATCTGGGCATATCAATTTGAACACCGAAGATGGTATAGGAATACCAAAAAAAGCTTTTCTGTTCTATCATGCATAAAATAAACAAAAATTTTGGTTTTTAACTGAAGAAACTTGAAAATGATTTACGATCAACCGTTAGAAAAATCGAAAAGTTAAATTGGAAGTTAACTGACGCCGAACATGCTGTGATTTCTATCATGTATATATATATATATATATATATATATATATATATATATATATATATATATATATATATATATATATATTTTATATAGAGATATAAATTTATACTCTC